TAAACTCTCAGGAGAAGACTCACATTCATTCTCGGACAATCATATGTTTCCGATTATTTCCGATTATTTTAAATTAATTCGATTCTTTTTTTTGTGATTCTCCCCATAGGTAAACAGCAAATAGCGGTGCCAAGACAAAGTGTATCGGTTGCGAATAATGTTCAAGCATCACCCAAACCAGCAGCTGTCGATAATTCAGCAGCGGTCAAACAACCAAAAGAGAAAAAACCAAAAACCGATAAACCAGCTGGCGAAAAGAAACCATGGGAGAAACCAACCGCCGTCACTGCAGCTAGTGTCGATGAACCGATTGATATCAGTCGACTTGATCTAAGAATTGGTCGTATTGTTGAAGTTCAAAAACATCCCGATGCCGATGCATTGTATCTCGAAAAAATTGATGTTGGCGAAGAGAAACCACGTACGGTCATTTCTGGTTTGGTTCGACACGTTCCAATTGAAGAAATGCAAAATCGTTTACTTGTTGTTTTTTGCAATTTAAAACCAGCTAAAATGCGTGGCATTCTATCCGAAGGTATGGTTCTATGTGCATCAACACCCGAAAAAGTTGAACTTATCAATGTGCCACCGAATTCACAACCGGGCGATTTCATTCATTGCGAAGGCTATGAACGCAAACCAGACGCTCAACTCAATCCGAAAAAGAAAATCTGGGAACAAATTGCACCAGATCTTTTAACTAGCGATGATTTACTTGTTTGCTACAAAGGAAAACCATTGTATGTGCCAGAAAAGGGACAGCTCAAAGCTGCATCGCTCAAATGCGTACCAGTTAAATAAAATTTTTGTTGATTGAAAGAAATTCAAGCGAAACATTGTGTTCAACAAACCTTTTTTTGGTAATCATTTTTTCAATTTAATAAAAAAATCGAAACTTTGCAAATATATGTGTATAATTTGCGTTTTTTTTGTTAACGAAAATTGTTGAATTTTCAAACTTTCGAAAGGAGAATAAGTACACAATAATTTATCAAATATGGTTTGAAGGTAGGTTTTTGTTGTTGTCAAATTTACACAATTCGCGGAGATATTAGCACAAGTTTAATGTAATGGAAAAAGGTAAAAAAAATTTGTAAAATACTTATACTTTATTCTAGTAAAAAAAAATGACCATAAAACATTTGAACGAATGTTGAATTTGTCGTAGATTTTCTTTTGTTGCAAAAACGAGCCACTGTAAATAATATATATATATGTGTGTGTGGAAAATAATAAGTATCAAACGGACAAATATGTAACGTTTTTAGGACATTTTAACGTTAAAAAATGTAACGCTTTAACCCATTTTTGTGGCAATTTTCGTGTCAAATGGAAGGTAGAATATAGGCATAATGTGAACCACTTTTTCGGCTTTTTCGTGTTGCGATACACAACAACATCTTCTGTGTGTTTCGATTGTTTCTCTTTTTGTTATTATATTCTAAGAAACTGTAGCGGCAATACAATGTAAACAAATGTAAATAACATAAACTCGTTGAGTTCATAATATCGTATTCATACGATTGATTTTAAGCAAATAAAATTTGAAAAACAAACCGGAAAAAAAAGAGGATGAAAATACAAATCTTACTCTCTTCTCTCTGTGTGTGTTTCGATTGTGCATGAATAAAAAAAAACATTGCGTAGGAATTTCAAGTGACTGTGAAATACATTTATAAATGTACCTTTTTTTAGATTTGTTTGATTTGATTTTAGTTTCAGAAACATTTTTTTATTTTTTTTATTTTTTTTATTTCATAATTCAAATTCGAATTTCGAATTCGAAACATGTTTGAATGTGTACGAGATTTGACAGTTGGTAGCTGTGTGTATTGGTGTGTATCATATCGAAGCCGATTTTTCTGATTACATTCAAAATGTGCTTCGTAAACATTGCATCGTATCAATTAATTTCTTTGAACTAAATAGGGATTTTTTCGCATCAAAATATTTTGAAGTTATTGTTAAGAATAAGGTAAGTAATTATGGTTAAGTTGCCATTGTGTTGAAAAAAAAAAAAACAAAATTCAGTGATTAATAAATGGAATTCTTGTACATGAGATTCATTTTTTGTTTATCGTCATTTTAGCAACGGCTTGGTGTGTTTGGAACGTAACTGTAGAAGTCACTCGATGTCAAATGGAAAGATTCACAGTCCGTTTTGTGACAGTCTTTGTTTTCATTTCAAAATAAAAAAAAACATTT